CCGCCCGGGGGGGTGGAGGAGTTTTTGTGGGGGGCGTTTGGGGAGTGGGGGGACTTGGAGAGCGTGCGGGTGGTGGGGGCGAAGGGCTTTGGGTTCGTCACGTTTGCCTACAGAGTCCAGGCGGAGTTCGCAAAGCTGGCGATGGCCGACCAGCCCTTTCCGCCCTTCGCGCCGCTGCTGACCGTCAAGTGGGCCCACCAGGAGGCCCCCAAGCGCGCGCTGGCCTTCCCGGAGGGCCCCCGCAAGCTCAGGGCCCCCAGGGGGCCCCCCGAGGACCCCCAGCTGGCGGCCCAGGCCCTCCACAGCTACTGCGCCGCCTGGCAAAACTACTGGGCACACGCCCAGCAGCAACAGCAGGAGCAGCAGGAACAGGCGCTGCAGCAGCAGCAGGTGCTGCTGCAGCAGCAGCAGGTGCTGCTGCAGCAGCAGCAGGTGCTGCAGCAGCAGCAGCAGCAGCAGGGCGGCGAGGGAGAGGCTGCGGGAGAAGAGTGGCCGCAGGAAGACCCCGAGACTGCGCATGCAAACGTGGAGCGCTTAATGAATGTTTTGAGCCGCGTCGAAGGCCTTTCGACTTCCGACTTCCTCAACGCCGGGCCCCGCGGTGTACAGACACCCCAGCCCTGAGGCCGCTGCAGAGGCCTTGCGCCCGCGCGGCGCTTCAACCAACCCAACAAACCCCAAACCCCAAACCCTAAACCCTAAACCCTAAACCCTAAACCCTAGAGCCTGCCGAGCGCAGGACAAGAGGCTCGCGCGCTTAGTGCGCAAAGCGGCGGCGTGGTTTGGCGAACTTTGGCGAGTTGCGACGGAGTTCAAAAACGAATTCTTTTTTTGTTATTTAGTGCAAAACCAACAACTTCTCTCTTAGTCTCAAACTGGCCCCCTGAGGCCTCTTGTGGAAGCTCGGGGCTCTGCTGCTGGCTTCCAATGTAGTTTGAGTTAAAAAATTGTTTTATTTATTTCGCGCGAAGACATTTTAGGGAGACAAGCCTTAGTTTATCGTTCTGCGTGGGCAGTGCGCGCTGCGGTGACTCGCCCCACTGCGGGGCGGCGGCGGCGCTTCCCCGGCGGTTTCCTTTCGGAAACTCAATTTCTTTTTCTAATTTTGCCACTCAGAAGTGCATTATAAGTTTGTAGAAGCAGTTTGGGGCAGTGGGGCTTTCGTGCGGGGCCGCGAGCCCCACTCGCAGGGGAGCTTCTCCCCGAGTCGGCCGAGGCCCCCGCCGCTGCTGTCTGCCGGGAAAACTGGAGCAGCAGTTCGTCTTTTGCTTGAATAGTTGCTGCAAATTGATCAAAGTTTCCCAAAATACTTGCAATTTCGCCGGTTTCAAGTGCTGCGGGCCAGTAGACTCTGGCGTGAACACTGCGGTGTCCAGACCGTCGTGCAGCGCCGCTCCCTCCCCAGCGCCCCCCGCCGAGCCCTGCCAAAACCGCTGGAGTTTTTAGTTTGCTTTATTTGGAGTTTTTGAAAGTTTAAAGGGAAAACTGTGCAAAAATTGGGGGCAGCTGCCGCAGCTTTCCACCAAGCGCGGCGCCGCGGCTTCCTCGCCGTTGGCCAGCACGCAGCGCCACCGGCGCGATCTGCCGCAGCGCATGCAGGATTTCAGCTGCTGGAAGCTTCCAATGGTTACTTTTGCAAAATATTAATCAAAGGGAACTTTGTTTAGCTCTTTATGAGCAGCGACTGCGCCGCGCATGGCTGCAGACACTGCGGCGCCGCTGCTGCAACTTGAACTGCAGCTGCTTCCCGGGGAAGCGCCCGCGGGCAGCAAGTGAAGCACCTGCTGCTGCTGCTTCTCCATTCCTTTCTTGAAGACTCTAAAGTCCATTTATTTCGCAAAGTCTTCGAATTTATGTCCCAACTGCGAAGACACCGCGGCCGACTGCGCCGACAGCCGTCGATGTTCGCCCACTATGAGACTCAGCCGCACTCTCGCTGTGGGCCTCCTCTTTCTGGCCCCCGCCTCAGCTAGCCAGGAAGCAGCAGCAGCAGCAGCAGCAGCAGCAGCAGCAGCAGAGGGGGAGGAGGCGGGGCCTGAAAGCGCTGCAGTTGCGGTGGGTTTGCTTCTCCCGCGGCGCATTGCGAGTTGATTCCGCAGCAGCAGCAGCAGCGACTGCAGCAGCAGCAGCAGCAGCTGCTGCAGCAGCAGCAGCAGCAGCAGCGCGACAGTGAGGCAGCTGTGTGTTGCGGCGCCGCAGGCCTCGCCGCCCCCGCCTTCCCACCAGAGTCTTCCCGAGGCCCCCCGCACTCCCGAGTAGGTGCATGCAAATATTTCAAAAATAAAAATAAAATAAAAATAAAAATAAAAACAAAATAAACAAATTAATGAAATATATTTTAATAAAAGCTGCACTGTGCTGCAGCAGCGACGCAGCTGCTGCTGCGCTGCTGCGCTGCAGAGCCCACGCGGCAAAGGACGCCCCCGCGCTGGAAGAGCCCGCTGCTGCGCTGCAGCAAAAGGCCTCAGCAGGTAAGAAAGCAAAATAACAAAAGTTTTAAAAGTGAAGAGCTTTTGCAAGTCAAGAGGAAGCCACTTGGCCAGGTGTCTGTACACTCCACAGGCGCAGCCCCTCGCTGCTGCTGCTGGTCTTTGTGGGCAGAAGCGCCGGCTAGTGCGGCGGGAGAGGAGCTGCAGCAGCCAAAGGCCTCCCCCGACGCTGCTGCTGCTGCTGCTGCTGCTGCTGCTGCTGCTGCTGCTGCTGCTGGCCCCCCCGCCCGGGGCGGGCCAGCTCCGAGCAGAGGGGCCGAGAGGGGCAGCCGCGAAGCCGGACTTGGCAAAAAAAAGAAGTTTGAAGAGTCGAAAAAGCCGGAGAGGACCGCCAGCGAAGACAGCGCGGAAAGTTCAAGTCCGGAGGAAGCAGCGAGCTGCAGGAGGGGCCGCGGGGCGGACAGCAGCAGCCGCGAGGCTCCTCGCGAGAAAAGAAGAAGTTTAAAATACTTAAAAGTGAAAAAAGTGAAAAGATCTGCGCAGAAAGGCAGCAGCTGCGGCCGCGGGAGCTGCGGATACACCCGAAGCAGCTACCGGGCGAAACCTGAATGGAACGCCTCGGCCGAGAGCAGCAGCAGCGGCTCTGCAGCAGCAGCAGCAGAAAGCAGCAGCAAAATGCAAATAAAAAAGAAAAAAAGTGGAAATAATCCCGAAAAAATGCAAGTCGTGCGCACGCTGCAGCTGCTGAACTTGCTGCTGCAGCAGCAGCAGCAGCAAGCTGTCCACTTCTCAAGCCGCAGCGAAGCCCGCCTCGACGCCGCCGCCCTCGCAGTGGCTTACGAGAACTTGCTGAACCAAGTCCACAGAAAAAACCACTCACTCGTAAGGCTTTACCTGCTGCTGCTGCTGCTGCTGCTGCTGCTGCTGCTGCTGCTGCTGCTGCTGCTGCTGCTGCTGCTGCTGCTGCTGCTGCTGCTG